ATGACATCTTTTGGAGAAAATAATTTTGGGAGTTAAGATAAAATATCTTTCCTCTCACGAATAAAAATATTTAGAAGGAAACAAAACTTTCAAGGGGTAACAATAGAATATGGCACCTCCCTTCCACAGTCAATTAACAAAAATTAACGACCATTCGAGAAAAACTAATACTAACAAAAAAAAACTCAAGATAGCTAAACCTAGAGAAATCGAGTTGCTTGATAGTTTAATTTCTTAACTTAGGCCAGTATCTTTCTTCGTCTAAACCTCTCTTCCCCAATTTCTCTCGTAACATATTCCTCTCACAAAACTCTCTCTATATCCCTCTCCTTCAACTTTATCATAGGATGGTTTACCTTGTGATTTTTATTAAAACTATAGTTTTACGACTCATCATCACAATACATTTCCATCTTTATTAATAGAAAGTAAAATAGTTGCTTCGAGAAGTCGAAATAAAACTTTTGAAATAACAAGAGAATAAATCCAAAAGTTTAACAGCATAATTAAATGGGAAGGAAGCTGCTTATGCACACATATACACCCCATTTTCTTTTTTAAATGATATTTTTAAACAAACTTTAAAAGTTGGGATATAATTAAAAAAAAATTTACTTTTTTGATACTCGTGTATCCGGATCAGCTTGCGCATACCTCAACTATTCATGATCCAACCACCTGACCCTACTATATTTGGTTGATAAAGAAACCGGTAGAATATTAAATCCAAGATAAGTGACCACAATAGTTTGAACTCATTCCTTCTAAGTATTTGACCCTCATTGACCACTTGGACCATCCCACGAGAGTTATAATTGAAACTTTTTGAAACCGTAATTCAAATGAACCTGATATTTTATATAATTTAACCTGAATTAAAAGATATACCAAACCCACCCCCATCCAACAGAGAACTTCCAAGGCTGACGATTAATTGTTACATTTCAAAAGAAAATACAAATATAAAATCTGTTACAAATCAAAATGAAAAGTATATTTTAACAATGTCATAGCCATCTGAAATTTGCTGGCTCTCATTTAACTATAAGGTAAGAGGCAGGGAAGAAGAGAAAGGAAGAAAAGGAATTCAATAAGGACGGAACTTTCTAGCAGCTCTCAATTGCTGTATCCGTTTCTTGTCTTCCTCAAATTTACTCTGCAGCATCAGAACCTCTGCAACAAATAAAGATATTATTTCAATCTTCTGTTTCTTTACATTACAAAGATGTCATCAGTAACCCAACATATCAGCTAAGTACCAACACTTAAGTTTGGGTAACGTGTCTACGTCGAACACTCCAACACTTATTGGACACGTGTTAGACACTTGTGTTCAGCTCAATAGAAGTGTCACACACTAGTTGTACAAAGTGAATATAGATCCAATACTTGTGAAGCACGTATTGAACATTTGTTAACTATAAGTAATAGACATAAATAGTAATATACGACGAAATAATAAATTTTGAGAGCAAAATACATCGAACTCATTTTTTTAAGTATAAAAATGCATAAAGTTATTGACTTTGAATTTCCTTCTAGTATGAAAATGACATGTACTTAAAAAATGGTATATTTTAATAAACGTATCCTTGTCGCGTTTGTCCTAGATTTGTATGCATTCGTATCGTGTCATATCGTGTCTCATGTGCTTGAATATCCAAAATTTATCAATGAGATGAACACCCCCATATAGCAGCTATTCCCAAAAGAAATATTAATCCTTGAAGCAACATACTTAAGAGTAGAACAAAAACACAATCCAATACACAAAATCCCCATTCCAATCATCACTTCAACTAATTATTTTTCCAAAATCAAGAAATTTTTTTCCAAAAAGAAGAAATAGTAATCCCATGAGCTGCTTAAATATGAAAATATGAATAAAATCCATAATAATTTTACGAGTATAACTAATCATACCATTCCTCTGTGCTTCTCTTCTTTGGAATCGATAGAAATCGAGCCCAACTTCTTTTTGCTTCTTTTTGGACAGTTTATCCTCTACAGCATTTAGCGCTACCGAGCCAACAGTAACCCCGCTTTCAGCATCCGTGGTCTTTTTCCTCCCCCTCTGATGTACAACTACTGTCCATCCCCCTTCAGCAGCTTGAGCTTCCCTTTCTTTCTTTTCCTGTGTAACATCAAGATGAAACAGCTAAACACACACATCTGAGGCAGGATCCAAAGCTTATGATCATCCAAGGCAACTGAGCTAATGCCGGTACAGACTAGTAAAAACGAAAACTATATAACTATATTGCAATATCAAAATGACGTTACAATATCAATAGCCTTTCGAGAGAGCTGTCTCTCTCCCAATAACGATGCTAAGCTCTTCACCTTAAACTATTTCCCAAAAGATGTCTTCCCTCTCTCCCTACTACTTCTATTTATAACAAACTCACCCCTAACTAATTATCATAATGCCCCTAACTACAGTACTAATTCTATTCTCAAACTATCCCTATTAGGACTCTCACAGTTACACCTTAAAGGATATGGATACATAGCTCCAAACCACATGATCAAAACTCATGAAATCAGTTTCAGAGGTAAAACTGGCCACATGTTGAATGAGAATGTATAGTTTCATTGAGTCATTGCTCAAGGGGGGCATATTACCTGTTCAAGTTGTGCCTCATGCACGGTTATATAATCATCTATACGTTGTTGCAGTACCTTCAAGCCCGGTCTACTTTCATGATATTTTGTAATCCATTCTGTAGATCATGAAGTTCTCAATGTGAAATTTATAAAATCTAACGAGGTATTTTATTAAACTACAATAAATGATACAGTGATATCGCCATGTCCATCATTAAAAGAAAACTCAAAATGGCTCATTTCACAACCATCAGGAGAGGAAGGTAATTACAACTGACGCAAGAGGAAGAAAGAACAAGAGCAAATTTTCACAATAAGCCAGGAAGATTGAGAAGCATAATAGCTAATTCTCACTTTTCATTCCTTTTGAAGTGTCATCATCTCCGGAAGAGATTTGATAAACATCTTTTTGATCAACATCGTCATTCGATTCTATCGACCTTTTAGCATCCAAAGAAATAGACTCCTTCCTTTTCTTTTTCAAAGATTTTTTGCCTATAGGAACATTTTCTGTTTGTAAATCAGTTGAAGAGAAATATTCAAGCAGTAGAATATATATCAATAAAACTACACACATACATTTTACATCTAAAAATGCACCATTGTCTTCAGAGGGCTGATAAGCTTCCAGCTGCATAGCTCTTTCATTTCCTAACGAGTCTTCACAATCTTTCGAGGATTTGCGGTTCTTTTTATTTTTCCGGTCTCTCTTTAATTTATCTGCAAATAAAATTTTCAGTTATGTTTTATTGACTCCCAAGATAGTGAGTACAGCAACAGTAACATTAACTGACAGCAGCAAAAGAAGTTGAGGCAGTCTTAAGTACCAGCTTTCCTGGGCTTTTTAGCATCTTCTCCCTCCACATCAAATTGATTGGAATCTGCCTGGACTACACTTAAGCCTTAAATCGCAGGATGCAAGTTAAAGAAGTTAATAAAATATATGATAGGGACAGAAAAAAATAGGGAAAACAAGACTGAAAAGGCAGGTGAGAAAATTCAAAGACCACTAGGAGTTCATTTTTTTTTTTTTAATAAGCAAGCTTCCATTGAAAAAAAGGGCAATAAAAAATTATTTAAGAAAACACAAAACAAGGAGCTATGTACGTGAGAAACTAACTGAACAACAGAAACTTAGAAAAAAGGCTCTGAAAATGAGAATAAGGGGGAAAAAAACTACATTGGTTACATAAACCCAAAGAGAGGTAAACCAGGATCATTCCCTCTAGGAGTAGAACTCTCTGATCTCCAGCACCTTTGTATTGACAACTGGATTATAGGTGGAGATTTCAATTTCACCCATTGGTCCCATGAAAAATCTAGCGGAGGCTCATCTACTAGGAGTATGCGCCTTTTCAACTCTTTTATTGCATCAGCGAATTTGCTAGACATCCCTCATCAGAATGCTTTGTTTACTTGGTCCAACTTCCGTGAATCTGCTTCCCATTCTCTCATTGACCGTTTTCTAGTGACTAATGCGATCATGGACAAATTCTGACCTTTGGGAGTCAAACGACTTTGTCGACCGACATCAGACCAATATCCTATTCTTTCTTTCGGTGCTGAAAAATGGGGTCCCTTCCCATTTAGGTTTGAGAACGTGTGGCTAACCCACCACAGCTTCTCCCCTCTCTTTGAATATTGGTGGAAGAACACTCCCCTTCGTGGATGGCCAGGGCATGGATTCATTCAAAAATTGAAAACTCTCAAGCTTGTCATCAAAGAGTGAAATAAGAACACCTTTGGCTGCATCAAATCTCAACAGAATCAACTTCTAACGGAGCTGAGCATCTTGGACAATATGGAGGAAACAGGGCCATTCCTTGATGCTCATCGATTACAGAGATCTACTATAAAATCCCAACTCCTGTCATTGGCCACTAATGAAGAAATTCTGTGGAGACAAAAATGCAAAAGCAAATGGCAGAAAGGAGACATTAGCACAAAGTTCTTCCATCGTATTGTTGCTGCGAGGAAACATAAATGCTCCATAAGGGAAATCCTCTCTCGTCATGGAACTAGCCTTTTTTCCGAATCTGATATAGTTAACGAGTTTCTTTCTTTTTATACAGATCTCTACAAAAAAAGATCAGGTTGCAGAACCCTTCCTCCCTCCCTATCTTGGGATCCAATTGATTCACATCAAAGACAGTGTGGCTGGCTGTTCATGATCTTGGCACCAACAAATCTCCAGGCCCAGATGGATACACTGCTGAAATTTTTTAAAAAGTTTTGGAACATTCTCAAGCAATGAGAGTGTTCCAAGATTTTTTTAGAAATGGTGTCATCAATGCAAGTCTCAATGAAACATACATCTATCTTATCCCAAAGAAATCTGATGCTTGCACTGTGGGGGACTATAGGCCCATTAGCCTCACCACTTGTCTCTACAAAATTGTGGCCCGAGTGCTTTCTTCAAGAATTAAAAAGGTCCTCCCATCCACCATCTCGGAACAACGATCAGCTTTTGTTGAAGGACGACAAATCCTTGATGCTTCTCTCATTGCCAATGAAATTGTAGAAGAATGGAAGCGGAAGAAGCAAAGAGGGGTGATTATCAAACTTGATATAGAGAAGGCTTTTGACAAAGTGGATTGGGAATTCCTCGATGATATCCTTTGTGCAAAAGGTTTTGGATCTACATGGAGAAAATGGATTAAAGGATGCATATCAAATACCAATTTCTCTATCATCATCAATGGGAGACCAAGAGGTAAAATCCAAGCATCTCGGGGCCTTAGGCAAGGTGATCCTCTCTCACCTTTTCTTTTCATTTTAGTGGTTGATTGTCTTAGTCGTCTCCTCACTCAAGCTGCTAATTCGGGATTAATAAAGGGCTTCTCTTTGGGAACCGAACTTCTTCATATCCACCACCTCCAATTTGCCGATGACACTCTTCTCTTCTCCATTGATGAGGATAAAGCCATCAATAATCTTTTTTAGATTATTAAGACCTT